ATTTTAATACAGAGTGATGGCATAGTAGAAAACATTTTGTCGACACTCACACGTTTTTCGCGGATGTACTATGCCGACGATTTAAAGACTACTGAGAGAGATTGAACAACAGAACTCTTTGATAAATCTGCACCTACTGTAACCTTCAAGTGACTTACCTCCAAGCGTAAGACCCCGTCTAAGGGAGGACCAGACCAGCAATGGAGACTCACCGACTGTTGTCGATGGTGGTGTTGATAATAAAGTATTTTTCACCAGGTAGAGGTGACGATAATGGCAGATAATGGCCTAATGTGTCACTTGCAACTTTTTTAAAGTAAAAATGAATACATAGTTATTTTACTTGACATTTTAATTTATTTTTTACTAATAAATTAGTTCTACCATCAGCTTAAACATAAAATAGACTCTATTCGGATATTAAGACCTTTTCTCTTTAGCACAAACAGTATCCGATTTCCAAACAAATTTTAATTACTTTATGCTGACGCTACATTCGTTTTTAGCAAACACCGGCCCATTCAAGTGGATCTTTTTTATGCTGGCAATACAATATGTTTGTATATCGTTGCATGTATAGTAGTTTTCAAAGGAAGATATCGTTGTTAAAAACTTGATATGTTCATGTCAGAGTTGCGGAGCAAGCACATTAAGGTACCGCGTGCTCGGCCTAGAGCAGGAGAAGGAACAGGGGGTTTTTAGTGAGTAAGAGTCTGACACTCTCTCTCGCCTTACCCTAGGTGAGAGAAGGCATTTGATGATTATCTCTCTCTAAAGAAAGGGGAGGAGAGTAAGAGACTCGGTTCCAAGATTAGATATTTTTTCCAAAAAATATTATTTGGGGATCCAAAGGCCCGAAGTCACGACATTTAGGGTCCTAGACGTTCACATCAAAAATTTTCAGGTAATGTCACCCTAGAACCAGCTTTCTAAAATTATACACAACAAGTAAAATCAACGTATGAATGAACGATATGCATTTTCTGCTTACCACAAACGAGTTTTAGCCGTACATTATTACCTGTATAATGAAGGAAATGACGTGTTCTTTTACATGATGTAAATGTTGGCTGTAATGAGGGTGATGTGTGAATATTTGTAGCATGGTAATAACCGCTTGCTTTCATGCAATCCTGGTACTTTAATGGAATAGATAGATATATGTAATAGGTAAGGTGTTGTTAACGTGTTTGTTATTCGTTTAAAAGGGCTATTCTGAATATAGTCCAATTATTGTTTTAGGTCTATTGTGCCAAGTGAGCTGACACATTATCTGATGGTAAGCAAATCGGCACCACCCATGGACACTCACAACACTACAGGCGAAAATTTAGATTAGAGATGGGGTATAGGGATAACTTGGGTCTCTTGGTTGGGTTGTTTTATACCGGTTTTCTGTGAGGCCGTGGTATAACTCCAGTCAAGCCGACCCATTCGTGCTAAAGCATGTTCTTTCACGTGGTAAAAACATCTACGATCCTATTTCAGTCTACTCGGTAAAAACCGAGTCAATGTCTTTGAGTCTTAAAATTCTGCTAGACCAAAACTTTCTATAGGATAGTTTCTAATTATACAAATAAAATATTTTTTTGAAATACAAATACGAAAATTTTAATATTTATCTACGACGTCTATAACTGGTATATGATTGTGGAAGCGTAAGATATAATTAAAAACTTATTTTAAACTCCAAAATCGCCTTTCCTAACAGTTAAAGAAGAAAAAAAACGCTAATATTACCCACTTTTACTGCTAACTACGTTTGAAACTAAAACTGGGAACAAACTCGGACGCGAGTTTACTTTCAAACTTCACTTCAAAAGGAACAATTTACATAAATAATTAACCTGATGATTCCTCACTGTACCTACATAATTACTTAGAACCCAGTAATTTTACTAACTTATAAAGGCAAAAACTTGAGATTATAAAGTAGACACTCTGAGCCGTAATTTATGACTAAATTACTTAAATACATAAAGGATATTCAGTTTTGTTTCTATTAAGTGTTGTTTTATATCTTTGAAAACAATTAATAATTAGTGTAGGAGAACCAGGCTGCTTTACGAATGGGCGGGCTCAATCGGAGTGATACCACGGTCTCACAGATAACCGGCGTAAAATAACTTGTTGCTGCTGGTTTCGCCGTGTGATTTAAGTTACTGGAGGCCCAGTCCTCCCCCTCCCCATATCCCAAATCCCTAATCTCCAAAAAGCCGACAGAGAACTCGTAATCACGGGCAGCGTCCCTTGCATATCACCAGGGGATTCGTCTGCTTATTTTGTCGACTTATCACAAAAAACAGAGACAGAGACCAAACAGCTAAGATGGTGATTACTGGAAGCCATCTTATGTAGAGGAGTTTCATTTGCTTGATGGTCCAGCAGTGATAATGATGGTGACGATATACAATTTATCATGATTAAACTTTTGTCGGTGGTATTTCCTAACCGATATGACCTTTTTTGTGTAAATGGAAAATCATCAAATGACTTCTCTTGCCCCGTGTGAGGCTAAAGGCAGAGTCAGACTCTACTGAATAAAAACCTACCCATTCCTTCTCCTGCTCTAGGCCGAGGCCGCGGTACCTTATTGCGCTTAACACGAAAGTCCGGCTAAATGTCGGCCCTGTTGGGGCGCATCTATGGTGGTCAGTTGCCACTTTTAGCTCTTCGATCGCTCGATTCGATTGGCGGTGGCACGGGCTCAGGATCGATCGATTGCCTATATTATGATTGAGTTGGGCGATGCTGGTGTACGTGTCATGTTCGTGAACGGGCGCCGTCAATATCCTGGGTCAGCCGGACGGTCTATTGACAAACTGACAGGACTGACTGACAAACTGACACTTTATATCTTTAAAATTTTTTTTGACGTTCAAAAGTGCCTGTATGGGTCTAATTTAAATAAATGACTTTGACTTTGACTTTGCTCTTAATAAGCTAGCAACGCATTTGTGGCCATTCTCATAGCTTATCTTCAAAAGACTTGTCGGTTCGATAGCTTCTGTCATAAAAAATATATAGCTCTATATATTGAACAGCAAAATAACACACGTTACGACTATTTCCTTCCTCCCAATGCACTCTAGCATCGAATATTTATTCTGATCGGAAAACACTATTGGAAATGACTTTCAAATTAAATATGCGACACGTAGCTCGATGTTCACTGCAAAAATATTTCATGCCAGAACCATTTCAGCGTCAAGCACTTTGAATTTCATATTGAAACGTAAATTATTAATTTTCATTTTGTTAAACAGTAGTTGTAAAATGATGTTTCATATTAATAATGATTAAGGTTAATTTGTATGGAGGATCAAATTATGCGCGTACCAGGAGTACATAACTTTTCAAGAGATCAATAAAATAGTAACAATAATATCCGCTTCTTAGGTGTACTTGTATAGGCGTTCATGTTCATTTTCTTACAAGCAACCAAACAAAGAAAATCTTCAAAACTAAAACTTTATTTACGGCCAATCATTTAGTATTATTTTAGCATCAGTACCTACAAGGTATTACTAGCTATACTAGCTGTTAGTCATTTTTACGGGCAAAATGAAGCAGAAAATAAATTCTAATTAAAATTTCAAATACATCGTAACTAATCAAATTATCGTGGCAGCGAACCGTGACGTCATCGCCAGTGCATCGCCACTTCTACGTCAGTGCGTACCGCAGCGTGCCAGCTCGGCTCTCGTCATGCGTGCACAGGGTGATTTATATTTAGTAGCAGAGACGTGGTGGATAGACGGCTTTGAACTAATCGATGGACCATTTTATTATTGTTGAATTGAGGCGAACATTTATTTTAAGTTAATGAAAATCCTAGCCGATCTTAAATTAACGGCTAAAGGCTAAACTTGTCTTTTGCAATCATACTAAAATGACCAGTGAATATATTAATGAATAATAATGGTAACTGTCATGAATTAAGTAATGTTCGTACCTATACCTATCACTTACTTTTCTTGAGAATTCTTGTCATATTTTTTAATGCCAAAGCAGTAACGTCCTTGTTTAAAAGCTTAAATATTTATAGAAAGTAAATCTTAGTTTTGATAGGTATTGCGAATATAAATGCATCACTCTGTATATCTCCATCTAATAATATCGTCCAGATGTTGTGCAACGGGTCGCCGTCTGTACTCGCAGTCATTGACATTAATTACTTTGCTCACATTAAATTATGATCATGTATATTAAGCTCTTAGAAATTATGGTAGCCTAGTACTTCATAGAGTAATGTAGTGACTCATATTAAAAGGTTTATTTCAAAAACGTAAATATTGCGATGATTTTAGTTAGTAATATTAATTAGTAAGACAATTGCAATTGATATAAATGAAATATTTATTTTGAGTTCGATGAAATCTCTTGTATCTCCTTGCAGCCCGGGTCTGGCGAAGATCTGTATTTACCATTGACGACCATTTTTATTAAGGTTTTGGTTCAAAGCATAAGTTATGGTTGCACTAACTAACTAAAACGAGGCCCAATCCTTCCCCTCCCCCGATCCCTCCCAATCCCTAAATCTCCAAAACCCTAATCCCTAAAAGGTCGGCAACGCGCTCGTAACTCCTCCGTTGCGGATGTCCATGGGCGGCGCTGATTACTTACCATCAGGTATTCCGTCTGCTCGTTTGCCGACCTATTCCATGAAAAAACTAACTTTAATTTTAGATAGGTATCGTTTTTCGAGCCTTCCATTCTAATGAGTAGTTATTCCCTCTCGTATCTTAAGAATCTTCTTAACCTAATTCTTACGAAAAACGCGTAGTCTTTGAGGCACGCAGTGAAGTAACCAAAAATCTAACCAAGAATGTAAACGAAAAAAGCATTAATTTGTAATCAATTTCTCCACTGACTTTAATCGATGAATTTCAAACTTTATTTTTTAAGCGGTGAAGTCGAAGTTCTACCCATACCTAACTGATGCACTGGCCTAAAACTACAAAAGTGTCTAATATTCTAAATACTCCGTCTCTTTACAGAAGAGATCCTGGGATCCCGCACAGCGCTGTGGATGTCAGCAGACGGACATATGGTGCTATATGCTACGTTTAATGATACCCTGGTACATGAACAGAAGTACCCGTGGTACGGAGCAGCGTTAGATACTGATGACCCTGCTAAGGTAAATTAAATGTTTTTTTTTTTGGTATAGGTTGGCATACGAGTGCGGATTACCTGCAATCAGCGCCGCCTATGGACACCCGCAACACCAAAGGAGTTAAGAGTGCGTTGCCGGCCTTTAAGGGATAAGGGTTTCGTATATTTAACTATTAGGAAGGCATGGTGGGAGGGGGAGCATTTTTATGGAATAAGAGGCGAGCGAGCATAATTATAAATTACCTGATACAACATATCTCCTTCAACAGATCTTAAAGTTGCTTTCGTGTGATTTGGGATTCTTCAAAATCATTCATCGTGTATATTTTTTTATACCCTACCCCTTCAAATTATGGTTTTGTTCACACAGACGTACCCGGAGATCAGAAGCGTGAGGTACCCGAAGCCTGGGACCAACAACCCGACGGTAACACTCACAGTCGCGGACATCGCAGACCCGAAGCACATTCGCACTCGACACCTCACACCGCCCAAAGTTATTATAGAAGAGGGGTAAGTCACATTTCCAAATTCAAATAACTATAGCAGAAATCTTAATTCAAAATAATGTTTTAAAATTTAAAATAAGAACGACTGTTTGTATCAGAAATATCGTTCCTTTTTACGAATAACCTCCTTCAAAATTTGTACTCCTAGTAGAACCAGTGTAAGATCATAGCGTCCATAATTATGTCATCACATCCAACTAGCTTATTTAGCCATTTACCTAATGGCCGGGTAAATAATTAGCCATTTCATTAAATTGCTTAATTCCTTGTACAGGAAGGTGAAGAAATTGACATAAAAACGAAGTTCCTATCAGATGTTAGGGCACGACTGGACCAGCGTCGTCCAAAAAAATTGTAAAAAAATTTCTTCATTTGGTCGCAAAAATATTAAATTTTTTCGTAGTATTAAGTAAAATCTGATGCTTATTTTATTATATAGGTAATATCTATTCCGATACACCAATACTGCGTTTTATAAGAAAATCCTTAGTTCAATTTTATGTAGACTAGCTATCTCACATCTCCATATAAAACGAAGAATATGAACCTCTCAGCTGCTTTAAGCCGCTGCAAGCTCTAAACTGCGCTAGATAATTGAGCTAAAAACATGGATGTACTTAATATATTGTAGACATGGAATACTTTACTTACTTATTCCTCTTGTTAAGTTCTTTTTACTGCGTTATTTTGATTGATTTGGCTTCCAACTAACTTTCATGAAAAAGATTAAAAATTATATATGTATAAACTAGCACCAATATAACTCAAGATATTGGAGGTTATGTGCTATTCATAGGTAAAGTGTTCTTCGCGATCTCCAAACTTAACCTTTTTTTTCTTAAAAATCATTTATCGTTCCAAAAAAGGAAAAAGAAGTATTTATGCATTTACCGTTTCCAGTTTCTCCCTATATCTGTGGCTGAACTTAATAAAACTTGATACAAAATGGACGTGCCCCGTATTTTGTTTATATTAAGTAAGGGTTTAGCTAACAGCAAATAATAATTTACTCATCTCCAATATTTGTATGGTCTCCTAGTAATTAGTATCCCCTTATCTGTTGGAATTGTCGATATTTGTGTATTTTATTTTATTGTTCAATGCGACTATTATCTTCGATCTATCGATCTATCATGATCTTTAAATGCCCAGAGCACGCTGTAATAGCAACGGTAAGACTGCTGATCAAAGGCCCCTTCTCACACGCAGTAGATTTGAGCATTATTCACCATGCTTGCTCTTTTTTTTAACGTTGGCCCACATTAGGATTTTCTCGTGTGTCGTGGATGCGGTTACAAACATACTTTTTTTCTAGTATTTCACATGTACATGACACCCAGAACCGGTACAACAATTTGTGGATCACCCAAAGAATTGTTCCGCGCGGAAATTGAACCCGCGATACGTTGCACGGCAGCCAGTTGCCTAGCCACCTCACCAACCGTGCAGTCCGAATTAGAAATTATAAGTCCAGATTTCCTCAAGATATTTTCCTTCACCAGTCAGTCAGTGTCAGTGGTTTCAAACAATCATCGAAAGTACATACAACTCGGAAAACGTCACATTGGTACTTGCCAGGTTTCGAACACTCTCATGCGTGATCTTCCACGTACAATTATTTTCCTTACAATATGGAGATGGCATAATAGAATAGATAACCTTTCGTCTCCTTCCCTCGCATGTCTTACGACAAAGACAAAAACAGACCAAGCAACAGAGGTCTTTGATACACCTCAGTTACATAATTATCTTCAGTTTCAGCTTCCTTTCACGAAATCAACTCTATAATCATAGTAATAAGTGTTATTTTAATTTGTTACAGTGACTATTACTTCACAAGTGCCCAATGGGTGTCTCTCACAGAAGTATGCGTAGTCTGGTTAACAAGGATGCAGAATTTGTCCGTCGTCTCCGTCTGCAAGAGCCCTATGTGGTACTGTCAAGAGGTAAGCTTATGATTTTAAAGGCATTTGATATTTAACCTTATGACCTTGAAATAAAGATCATAAAAACCGTGAGCCGTGATGGCGAGGTATCCTAAATATTTTCGTGGATATTATAAAAGTCGATTTAATAACTACATACTTAATAGTGATCGGACAGCAGCGTTTCTAAAATCTCAAATCATCTTCACCTGCATTCTTGTACCCGCTTGCTAACCATGGCGTTTAAGATTGGGATTAAACGAAAGCAAAACTCTCACAAGCTATGATAAGCACAAATTAATTATTTTAGAGTATTTTTTTTTTCGCATTAAGGATGTATGGTTACTAAAAGCTGCCGCAGCAGACTTTATCGTTATAAAAACAATTCGCTAGAATAATCAAAAAAGAAAGTTCTAAAAACACGCCTTTTACCTTACATTTTTTTACCATCAATGAATAACCTGTCTAGAATCTAGATAAATACTCCAGTACTTACGATACGCAGCAATAATTTCAAGCAAAAAAGAAGACTTGACATGAAATACTATCGCAGATCTCACGAAGTCCTCTAGCTATTGAAAGAATAATTCACAAAAAGGTTCTTCCGAAAGAAAATTGAAAAAGAAACTGTTTTTACAATTCGAACTGATACCGTTTTATATTTTAAATTCATATTTCGAAGCTATTTTATTTTATAAAATGGCGCTGCAACTGTATTGTCGTACCGTTTCAATTTTAAATTAGTTCCATATTTAAACCAAACTGTGACATGTAACTTTTATCATAACATTTTTTTTAATCTGGTAAAAAGTACACAACATAATATTATTTTTATTTATTTTAACGTATTTCTGTGGCTCTATGTTCGCAAATATTCGATAATTAGTTAGCTAAATTGGAGAATACCACTATAAGATGAATATGTATTGTCAGGCATGAATCTAAACTCTATCACAAGAGAAAATTTAATAATCCGTGCCTTAGCAATCGCTTCTAACGAATCCAAGTCCAACGAAAGTATGTTTTAAAACAGAACAAAATGTTTACATAATACATATTATCTCACTTTTTACGCTCAAATCCGCAGGTATACAGGATATCCTCAGGTTTAGACGGCTGGGTGGAATCAGCACCGTCCCCACTCTGGTCAGCCGGTGGTGGTGCCCTTGTGACCCTGGCTCCCGTCAGGGATGGTCCAGCAGGGCTATTCCGCCACATTGTGAGGACGGAACATAACTCTCATGGGCCCAGAGCTCTGCCCCTAACTCATGGAAGCTTTGACGTGGTGCAGCTACTTGCTTGGGACCATGCAAATCAGCATATGTGAGTAGATTTCATGATATTGTGATCTTATTTACTAAGATATGTTTGTGTTCTGGAAACTTTTTTGTAATAACTCAGTACTAATCTTCTATAATATAAAAATGAATCGCAAAATGTGTTGGTAAGCGCATAACTCAAAAACGCCTGGACCAATATGCCAAATCCTTTTGTTTTGTATTCATTAATGTCAGGAGAAGGTTCTTATGAAAGAAAATATTAGACAAGTAGAGGGGAAAATTGGGAAGACCCTTTCGTTGTTAACGAGATAGTTCAACCCGTGCGAAGTGGGGGTGGGCCACTAGTTGCCAAGAAATAATACCAACAACTATTGTATTGAAGAATGCACCTTTCTTATTTCTAGTTATTACTTGGGCATCCCCGAAGGAAAACCAGGACAGCAGCATTTATACAGAGTATCATCCGAGGCGCCGAGGCCGGGCTCCCCGCAGAAACTGCCATACTGTGTCACGTGTAACTCACAGGTCTGTACTATTTGTAACTCGTGAACTAAAGTACTAGGAGAACATAACAATTTAAGAGTGTCATTTGAAATCAAAGATCTTCAAAATGAAAGTTAAACCATAAAATCTGTCTGTGGTAGCTCGAATTGACAAAGGGTTTATCTCGAGAATATTAAGGGATCGCATTGCACATTTTACGATCAAATCAAATTCTATACGAAACCAAATTGCAAACAAATGATGTCCACATGATCGCTATTAAATGGCATTTAACGTTTATTTCGATACGTAATGGCGCAATGCCAGGGAATCATAAATAGGATACGCATCTGCAGTGGATGGGGGACATATGGAAACAAGATGGAGGGAAATGCCACTTACAATCTGAATTAGATTGTCTTAGATGCTTAAGTCATTCTGACTTCTGCGCTTAATTCACCAAGGAAAGAAAATGTTACATAGTTTTTTCTTCACTTCCAATATATGTCTTCTGATATATTTTGTTGCGGGTTTTAGTCATACATTCCTTGTCCCTAGGACGCGTCGAACTTCAGTATTTTGGTGTCTTCAAGGTTGTATCTAAGGTAGACCCTAAGTACCACGTAGTTAGTCTTTGTTCTTAATCCATGATCCTAAACTAAGTTTTAAAAAGCAAAAATTGCCATTCGATAGATTGTTGTAAGAAGGATTGACCTTTGGATCGTTTGAAAATAAATGATTATTCTTCTTCTTATTAAGTACAATATGCCAAATTATGTGCAGGTTTAAAAAATATTTAACAGTTTTATATTGATTCTGTGTAAGCGACAATATATAGAACAAACTAGCTTTTGCCCGCAACTCCGTTCGCGTGGAATAGTGAATTCCTGCAGATTTGTGGTATAAAAACTATCCTATGTCCTTTCTCGAGTTCCAAACTATGTCTGTACCAAATTTCACAGAAATCGGTGCAGTAGTTTAGGCATCAAGAAAAGACCGACAGACGGGGTTACTTTCACTTTTATAATATTAGTTTGGATTATTAAGGATGGATATATTTTTTTGTGGTTTTCTACATAAAGGAACAAAGAGGGAAGTGGAAACCATTCGTTTTCGTTTCGTCAAAGGTAACTTTTGATTTAGTTAACCATGTCCTTAGAACGCCGTAGACCTCGGTGGTTCAGTGTTTTCGTGGTTGCTTCTACTGCAATTTCTGGCTTACAAGAGACCTTAAAGATGTGGCGGGTTTTACCTAAAAAAAATACATGTAGGTACATACTTAGAGTTAAATTTCATCCCGCAAAGTGTGAAAATGTTTTTATCGTTTAAATTCTTCTTTATAATTATCTATTTTGTCGCAAGTATATAGCATCGATATCTACTTATAAATATTCTCCTTTTAGCCATCCCCGTCAATAAACTTGGAATACTACGGCAGCCTGGCTTCATCAGGCGACAGCACGTGGGGCGACAGTGACTGGGATGAAGAATTGCCGCCAACTTCTGCTTCTCCCAGCAAGAAGAAGAAAAAGAAGTACCCTGGTGAGTTATTGTTACAAAATTATTCTTGTAAATACCTTTTAATTAAAAAGATAGTCTTCATCGAAGATTAGTTTTGAGCAATGTTTCGCCGATTCCGACTGGTGATAGCAGAAATGCTTTTGTTTCCACCCCAGCTCTTCTCGCGGATATTTTAAAAGGCCAAAATAATAATGAACTACACAGAGATTTGGCACTCTCTGATAATCCTGAATCTTTTATAATGTGATCTGCTAATACACCAAACATGGGAACAAGGTAGTTATTTTATTTATTTATGTATTATTAAGTACTTCATGCACCAAAATTATTCATGTGCATTAGGCGGACTTAATGCATTGCGCATTTTATGTAATGAGATTCCTCACTGAAAACGGGCGTGAAACAACCACAGCGTTGTGTTTCGCCGTGTGAGTGAGGTTACCGGAGGCTCAATCCTTCCTCTCCTTACCCCCAATCCCTAAATCTCCAAATCATCCATGGGCAGCGCTGATTCTTAACATCATTCATGCGTTTGCTCGTATCACCCACAAAAATCCCACCTATGATGTGTGAAGAGCAGTTTTGATATTTCTACGTATTTCCTATTACAATATCAATGGAACAGATCCATACGAAGACTAAGCGGATCAACTCTACGCATACCGTTCCACACGCCGCTGTGTGCCAAGAAAATATTGAATTACCTTAAGTAGTAAAGGGTTTAAATGTATCTCAAAACGAATGTCATGCACCAAATCAAATCTACTCCTTAAATCTTTATGTCAAGTGGCAGCGTCTAAGAAAACGAATTTTTATTTTCTCTAGATGGTATGCCGCAGAACTTGCCATGCCTCTACCACGAGGCGCACTTCAGCCCATCATCAGCGTACTTCGTGTTGGAGTGCCTTGGACCTGGGGTGCCTACATTCAGTCTACATAAGACTGCACTGCCTGATCCTAGACTATTGGCACATTTGGAGAACAATACTATTGTTAAGGTAAGAGAACCATAAAAACAACCTATTCATTTATGGTTGCCTAGTACTGACGCCAGCAAGCTTTCTTACTCCTAGTTTTATATTTTTTATTTAACTTTTAATTGTATATCAAAACATTCAGTCTACATAAGACTGCACTGCCTGATCCTAGACTATTATTGGCACATTTGGAGAATAATACTATTGTTAAGGTAAGAGAACCATAAAAACTACCTATTCATTTATGGTTGCCTAGTACTGACGCCAGCAGGTTTTCTCATTCCTAGTTTTATATTTTTTTATTGAACTTTTAATTTTATATCAAAACAATAATTATAATTATGTACATAGAAAGTCTACTTGAGATTGTTGACACAAAATCAGTTTTTTTTTCATATAATAGGTCTATACCTACGAAATTGCCGTTTTGCATGAAAAAATTTAAACGAATTTTTTTATTTGAAATGCGGTGAAAATGTAACACTAATCAATAAACAAATGACTACTTTTGGAAAAAGAATCCCATGTTTTTAAAACAAAATTAATTAGCCTTAGCCTAACAAAAACTATTTTGATTTTAAACGGCCAGTACTGCAGAACGGCAATTTCATAGGTAAAGACCTATTATAATAACACACAAACACATAAATAAAACCACATAACGTCACAACGCCCATATACAAAATTCATAGAAAATTGGATTCAATAATACAGGTTGAAAAAGTAACTGGTACCTATCTTTTAAAAAGAGCTTAACTAGTTCCATGTCAAGAAAAGAAAAATAAAAGAATGATTTGAATTTTGTGAATTTGATTTGTTAAGCACCTTAATCTGAGAGCCTAATATCTAAGGAAACAGTTTCAAGCAGATACTTAAATTTAACTACCTCTTTCATTAATTTAATGGACAAACATTAAAGTTACGTCATAAAGTCGCTTACTTTACATTTGAAATTCTATGACTTAAAGAACTAATAAAGTGAATAAAATTAAAACTGAAATTCATTCTATGTTTTCAAGTAAAGAATTCTCAAGATGTTTTCCATCACCGTAAGTCAGTGGTGTCTAAATAATCATAGAACATACAAAAATATAAGTCGGAAAAAATCAGATTGGTACTTGCCAAGTTGAAAAACCGCACCCTCATGCATGAGAAGCGAGGGTAACACTCTCGGAGTAAGAACAAAGTAGACTCTGGGCCACCACATTTTCATTCCTTAGTCCATTATCAGACCAGGTCAATTGCACAATTATGTCATATAGTCATTTAATCTAAATACAATGACAATTAATAAAAATGTATGTAATTTTGCTTCATAAATCTTATTACATAATTTATCACAGGTCCACCTGATAATTTTTTTGTGATCGAGTGGCAAATGACCGGCCTGATTACCTGATGTTAAGCAATTGGCGCCGCCCATGGACACTCGCTACACAAAAGGAGTTAAAAGGGCGTTCAGGTTTTTTGGAGATATAGGTTTCGCAGATTTTGGGGTTGGGGAGGGATGGGGGGAGAGAAAGGATTGGACATCTAGTAACGTCACTTACACGGCGAAACACAACGCTGTGGTTGTTTCACGCCGGCCGCAAGTGTGGGAGAGCTATGCTACGGCACAAATGGGCCTGCTTGGTCTATGGAGGTACTACAGCCTTACAGAAAACCGGCATGAAACAACCACAACGTTGTTTCACCGTGTGAGTGAGGTTACCAGAGGCCCAATCCTTCCCCTACCCCAATCCCTCCTCAATCCCTAAATTCTAAATCCCTAAAAGGTCGGCAACGCATTCGTAACTCCTCCGTTGTTGCGGGTGTCAATGGGCGGCGCTTATTGCTTGAAAAATAAAATACCCAAGCCCCACTTAAAATAAGTGTGAAAAGTTACTTCACTTGTAAAATTGTTCAGTACAAGTGTAAGCATAATATTTGAATCTTAGGAATCGTCGAGGGATAAAATCCAGCTTAGCTATTATACCGGATAATCCCGGTTTTCACTACGGATCGATGCTTTCATACTTTTTTTACTTCAAAAAGCTGAGTTTCCAACCTCTTTGCTTATCCTATCTATTTTACGGTACAACAAATCTTGTGGACTTTCTTTTTGCGTGAATTTTACCGGACCGAATTACTTGGTCGATGGTTTTTGGCAGAAGTGGCTATAAGGGATTTTGAAATGGAAATTATAAAAATTAACTCAATCCAAAACTCAGTTAAACATATATAATAGTATTTATTTAAAATTAACAATATAACTTAATGGCGTAAGCTGTAATGTTGTTTAAGTAAATTTTCTTACATATACAACATTACACTACTAGCTACTCTCGCGCTGTTTCACCCGCTGCTCAGCCCCATTTCATCGTAGCGTGATGTTTTATAGCCTATAAGTCAAAAGTCAAAAAAGTCAAAAGTCAAAAATCATTTATTCCAATTAGACCTTTACAGGCACTTTTGAACGTCAAAACAAAATTTTGAAGATATCGTGTCAGTCTGTCGGTCAGTCCTCTTAGTGAAGCTATTTGCTCGTTCCAAAGTGTAGATTCCGATGGAGAAGAACGAGCAAGAAACTCCATGGTTACTCTGTTTAAATCAGTTTCACATACAGACTCCTTTTACAAACAGTTGGTTCAATTATATGAGAACAGTGTAACACTAATATTTATTCAAATATAAAAATAAAGTAACCTTAAGGACAATAGACAGTCTGGAGCTGACCAGTCCCAACTGACGGCGCCCGTTCACGAACATGACACGTACACCAGCATCGCCCAACTCAACCATATTATAGGGAATTAAGCGATCCAGCGCCCATGCCACCGCCAGTGTGACCTTTCAGTGAGCATGACAACTCCAAGCTGTTATAAGGACCGACATTCTGCTAGTCTAAACAATTGTAATAGGTTACAGGGCACTCACATTTACAATCAAGTTATACAATATAATGCAATTTCACTAAAATGAAGAGAGAGCACTCATGAACATTGTAGCTATCTGTCAGTGTAAGAATTTGGCAATCCGACCAGCGGTTCCAAAGATTACTCCATACATTCAGACTTACAAACTTACAAATTTTACCTATTTATAATATTAGTATAGACTAAATCGTAACAATAATCTGTTATGATAATAAATTGCCGCCATTTTACCATATGATCACTTTATCACAAATCTTTGAAATATCTTCTTCACTTATAATTGTTTATTTACTAAACTACAGTATGTGTTTGTCCAATCACTGTAACTGTCAATCTTGTAACGTCCAATTATCTAGTTTTTTTTTTATTTATAGAAAGGCTTTGTCGCTTTGCGACCATATCGCCAGATAACAAAATCACATGAAATAAAGCTAATTATCTTACAACTAACTTATATAAAAGCTTAGCCTTATGGGACAATGGAAATACCAGAATAGAGTTACACACACCTACATCTAAGCCTTTCCTGCGGCCGAACACATCAAGTCTAATATTTTCATTTCGGACACATTCCATCAAAATGTGAAAAACATCATCAATAACCCCGCAGTTTTCACAGTACGGAGACAGTACCTTTTTCATTAAAAATTAGAACTTATTTGATGGAATGTGTCCGAAACGAAGCCTCATTGCTATAGTGATCAAATAGCTAGTGTTATACAATAGTTTTGTTTCCATAATTCTCCGTAGCTATGATTAGACTCTAAAATTGGGTAATTCCCTAGGTCAAAAATAAATTAGGTAATTCAACGTTTCAATACAACAAAATATTGAAAAATAACTATACTTTTATTCATCGATCTGTCGATACTTACACTAAATTTTAGATATTTTTTAGCCAATTATTAAGATATAAGTAAGCTATTTGACGCAAATATACTATGACGTCATAACTCAGTTTTTCATACATAGAAAAGTATCGTTTTTCACGTTTAGTTGGAAACCACAGACTAGTGACAGAATTAGCTATAAGCCTTTTGAAAAAACAATTAATGACATAACTAAATAAATTTTAGGCCAAGTCTTACATACAAAATGAAACTTTAATTTCTAAAACACAAGTAATAATTTTCTTTGTAACAGGAAAAGTTAGCTTCGATAGCTCTGCCGACTCCTCGAACGTTTTCGGTGCAGCTGTCCAGTGGCCACACAGCAAGAGTGAGGCTTCTTCTCCCGCCAGGGCTGAGAGAAGACGAGGTGACCAAGTATCCACTCGTGTTGAAAGTGTAAGTATCAGAAAAAGGTTTTAATCGTTTAAATTCATATTTTAACTTAAAATTAAGGCCCTTGTTTATATTTATTTCATAAGATCTGTATGTCAGTGAGCATTAAATTTTGGTCAACTATCAGACAGTACACTACAATGAAGGTTACCGGAGGCCCAATCCTTCCCCTACCCAAATCCCTCCCCAATCTCTAAATCTCCCAAATCCCTAACCCCCAAAAGGTCGGCAACGCACTCGTAACTCCTCTGTTGTTGCGGGTGTCCATGGGCGGCGCTGATTGCTTACCATCGGGTAATCCATCCGCTCGTTTGCCGACCATTCACTTAAAAAAAAAACCTTTTAGTTGTTGAATACTAAAACAGGCTCAATGCTTTAGACCTAACGAAAAACTAAAGAAAAACTTGGTTCTGTAATAGAGCGGACTGTGTTTTACTATTAATGATATTAAACAGCAAATAAGCAAGACTGCAAATGCTATCCAAAATATTTAAGAAGTAGATATGGTGAGTCTAGTAGTAATACAAGAAACATATCAATCTTTTCCCACTAAATTACAATCTCACAAAACCAATGAACACCAAAAACCATTCGAATTCTTCCACAAAATTAAGCGCAAATGTAAAATATACCGGTACTTACATTTTATCGAATTGTTAGTCTAGTCCTTCTGGACATGCCATTACAGTCATTGTTAGAAAAGCAATAAGACTCGTAATAGCTTGAGGTGTCACAAATCATTTGGACAAAAGACAGAAAATAATACATCTGATGCTTAACATTCCTAGTGAGTAATAAGAGATATTTATGACTGGATTTATTACCGTCATTACTTTCTTCAAACAAAATTAATTTTTAGCATATTCTAGTGCGGTTTTCAAGTCTGAATCTCTCGTAAATTTATCATTATTACTGTTCTTAACAAAGAATTTTGGCATTGAATTATGTTTGTAGTTTTTCCTAAGATAAACGTGCTTAGATTGTGCCGTATGCAATATGTGAAAAATTCCATTGACTGATTCGCTTGATGAAACGAAATAAGGCGTAGATGCACTTTTACTACTAAAGAAATACATAAATAAGCTTCAAATACAGACTTCTTATCTGTTGAGGGTTGATTTTTCAATAGTCAGATAAAATTAAACGTTATCTGAGGAATAAAATTTTTGCTGTCACTGTCTTATACAAACATTCTGACGCGATAGCATCACAATTATTTCCTAAATTACTTTTATCTAACCATTGAAAAATCAGGTCTTAGGCTAGTTTCTTCCGGTTGCGGGGTAAACGCAATGAGGCACCGACCTCGGCCCAGAGCAGGAGAAGGAACGGGGTGGTTTTTAGTCAGTAAGAGTCTGACACTCTCTCTCGCCTTACCCTGGGCGGGAGAAGTCATTGGATAATTTTCCTCTGACAAAAAAAAGGTAGTTTCTTCCGTAATTTTAGATTCGTATCATACTTAATCTGAACTTTCCTTGGTCTTTCGAATAACCTAACTGTTCAAGTACCTATAGCGTAATCATTTCGTGATCATCATTCTATAAATTCCCTCTAAATTCTATTATTGGTTCTCAAAATTCTTATTTCCTTCTTTGTTATCAGTCACGGAGCACCAGGAACGCAGCTTGTGACGGAGCGTTGGTCTTTAGACTGGGGTTCGTTGGCCGCGGGAGCTGGTGCCATTCTCGCGTCAGTGGACGCGCGTGGTGCCGGCGGGAGAGGACTCGGTGCGCACCACGCACTACATCGCCGGCTCGGCACCGTCGAGCTGCAAGACCAGTTGGAGGTCGCTGAGTAAGTTATCATAAATTTTAATGATGATGTAATTGATTCTTATCATGTTAACCGCCACGTAGGTCGCGTAGGTCACCGGTGACCAACGGTAGCGATGGATTTGCCTTCAATAGTTTTCTGTTGGCAGTCAAAGGCTTAAGCAATTTTTACTACTTATATTAACTAAAAATCGCAGGTTACTCACGTGTATATATTGAGAAAAGCTCTACTAGTTTCGAACCACAGAGGGGTACTTTTTTTTTTTTTGGTGTCGGGTTGGAAAATCATCGCCCTCGGGGAAGGGCGAAGGGTACTGTCAGACTTTTACTGACTAAAAACCAACCCGGTGTTCCTCCACTTACCCATGTGTCGGAGGGGCGGGTATCGCCGAAACATTCGTCGCAACCCCCCGACGGGTATTGGCCCGCCAGATGGTAAGGCCCCGTCACCCACTGTGGCCGTCACCCCGACCGCAGGACTCCACTATGAGGCGCGCGCGAAACACGGCGCCGCCGCCTCGAGGCCTGCTGCTGGTCGGACGACAAGACGCCCCGAGTCTGTCGTCCGCAGGCCGCACCCTACGGTGGCCGCAGGTCGGCCACCCTACGACGTCTAGTGCGTCTGCTGCGGGAGGGGAGAGAGGAGGCAGCCTCTCTCTCCCTTTCCGCCGCCTCCTTTGCGAGCATCACGGCCTCGCAGAAGATAACGACGGTACTCCACCCTGACTCGCTCCCAAACATAGTACAGCCGGAAGCGAGAGATTTCCCGCAGCACCTACGGCCGCGACCAGGTCACGGCGCTGCTCGGCCCAAGCTGGGCATTCCGCCAACGTATGCAGCACCGTATCGTCGCGGCAATCACCACAATGGTGGCACTGAGACGTCGGCTCCCGACCTATGCGACACAGGTACTTCCCGAAACACCCGTGTCCGGTAAGCACCTGCGTCAGCCGGAAGCTGAGGGCGCCGTGGCTCCTATTGAGCCACTCCTCTAGAACGGGCCTTAATATAGCGGCGTGCCCCGCCGTGGGTTGCGCTAAACGCGTCTGCCACTCCGCCATTAAGGTCTGGTGGAGTTCTGCCCTGCGTGCCTCAACCTGTTGAGGCACCAGGCGCTCGCCCCGCTCGACTGCCTCCGCGCGCCACCAATAGAGCGACGCGAGGAGTTTTGCGTCGAGGTCCCAGGGCGGGGATCCGGCTAGGAGGCTCGCTGCCTGCCTGTATCCCCTTATTATCCTGACGGCCATCGCGCGCTGTGGCCTTCGCAGCGCGGCGATGTTGTGGGCCGTCAGGGCGTCCGCCCACAGAGGGGTTCTTCCTCATGAGCAGCGACTGTAGGCTGTGTAATTCTGTCTGTCTGCTAATTAATTTAGTATGTCTCACGATAGTTATTATAAAATAAATTTTTTACTATTTTTGGTGTTTGAACAAAATTTTTTATTACATTACGGCTAGCCGTTTTGAATGACGTAAGTATGGTGACAAATGCAATACCACCGTGTTTTATTTAGCCCCATTCAATCCGGCTAATAGTTTAGCCGTTGCATTTCAAAACGGCCCTGTTTTTGATAACAGCTAGGTGTAATGTAGGACGGCGAATTTACAATGCACCTGCGACATGTATAACAAGAACACCTATGAGGAGTCACATATTACCTTAAAACCTAACCTTCGTAATTATTTACCTTCAAATTGTAGAATACCTACATTACCCAAAACAATTGAAACTCAGCATTTACTATTAAATCGAGGCGTTGGAGCATGGTGCTACTCTAGGCAGTCCTGTTCTAATATAAAATGTACAAGCACTTTTTTCTTCATCCCCAGTGGGTCATGACGTTAGCTCGAACCTCCAAGGCCCTTAATGTTACTCTACTGTTGAATATTTTAATGCCAAACAATTTTACACACCTGTGAAATTTTGGGTTCTTTAAAAGGCGTTTCGAAGTCAAATTATGTCAGTTTTTCCTAAAGAAGCAGACATATTCTAATGATATATGAATATGATTTTGTTTTCTTAGAAAATGTTCATCATTAGAGCAGATTTTACCAAAACTGATGAAAATTATTTACAATCACCAATATCACCAAATTAGTAACAAGCTACGGTTACTCAACTCGTTACAAGCAACGATGGAGGCCCGTAATGATAAGCCGCAAGCGCTATGACTGAAAGTGCCGATTGTAGTCGCCACATACTGAGACAAATAAAGTTTTATTATTTTCCCGGGTTTTCAGATAACTCACTTCGATAAACTAATAGAAATAGGCTAAGTCCCATGTGACTTGTTCGATGACTAGTCAAAAGTAGGATACGTCAAGTCAAGTGTGGGAGAGCTAAGCTTCGGCACGAATGGATCGGCTCGACCGGAGTGATACCACGGCCTCACAGAATACCGGCGTGAAACAACCCACAGCGTTGTGTTTCGCCGTGTGAGTGAGGTTACCGGAGGCCCAATCCCTCCCACTCCCCTATCCCTTCCCGATCCTTATATCCATAACCCCTATCCCCAAAAGGCCGGCAACGTACTCGTAACTCGTTTGGTGTAGCGGGTGTCCATGGGCGGCGCCGATTGCTTACCATCAGGTAATCCGTCTGCTCGTTTGCCGACTTATACCATAAAAAAAAACCTTTAATATTTTAATGCATTTCTCATGTCTGTGGACATATACTTAATTTAAATTTCATAGTAAAATCTCAATTTTTTATTGTATTTAGCTAACTCTAGAACATACATCATGTTATAATCACCATGCTTTGATTGTTACCTGTTGTAATTACCTTAATAAATAAATAAATAAATAAATTTCTTGGGAAAGATAAAAGGCATACTACGTTATATTAAACCTATATTATCAACCTTTTTTTACCAGGTACCTTCGGGACTCCCTCCACTTCATAGACTCGCGTCGGGTAGCAGTATGGGGACGAGCACACGGCGGCTTCCTCGCTGCCCTCGCGTTAGCTAGCACGGTGAACGTGTTCCATTGCGGCATCGCACTGACACCCATCGTGCGCTGGCGGTACTATGGTAAGTAATGGATGATGAAGTTGGCGATAATGTTTTTAATATTTTCATGTAATAAACTATATGTACTAGGCGACTATAGGTTGTAGTAACCGCATTGCATCAGGTGAACCATTAGCTTGTTCGTATCTCAGCAGCAAGGATGTTAAATAAAAACAAAAAGTACCAGGATAGCAGAAGTTAATTGAAAACTATACACTTCCAATCAGAGCATACGGCTGAAACGAATTCACGAATTAATTCGCACTTAAAATAAAGAACTATGAACATTTAGCTTAGAGCTACCTACATTAGGTAGAAAATCTGCCTACATTCATGAAGCAGTAACCACAGAATACTGTTTAAAAAGGCCAGACAACAAAGGAACTAGGGATGTAGGCACCTAGTAATCGAAGGACGATTGTAATTGGTATAAACAAAGCAATCGGGCTGGGGTCTAATGGACCTTAATGTTATTTTAATGAAAGCTGCATGACTGACTATTAAGCAACCTACTTGAATTTTGTTAAGGGCACACATAAAGACGCGGTAACGCGCGAATTTTATTTCGACTTTTTGATTTGAAAAACATTGCACCATTCTAGAATTTTCTTTTATGTCGTTGTGCGTTGTGCGTTTAGAAACCAATGACGTATTATATATAGACACGTCATGAACTAACATCGCGGCGCTTAAAAACGGCGAAAATACTAGATAACTACTTCTACTAGTAAAGAAAGGGAAAGAAAATATGACATCGTATAGTGGAATGCCTTTGTTAGAGGGAGATAAATATACATCTTCAGTTACATCACAGGATAAGTAATAGTAAAACTACATTTTCATAAGATGGCCGCCATAAGATGGCGGGCGCCGGCGTCGAAAAAAATAAAATAAAAATAGGTTGTTTGGTGAACTTACGCATGAAATGACACATTTTTATCTTTAACTTTTGGAGTATAATTTGTACATCGTCTGAACACACACGACGGCATGCTTTCTTTATGTTTCGCACAGGTTTACACACACGATATAAATTAAAAACAAACGTAGCGTCGCGCGGCAGGTTGGTGCGTAACTAAGCGCGATGTTGTCAATTGCCTTCATTTCATGTTGTCATTTTAGAGCGCGGACAACGTATCTATAGTTTTATACATCATTGTTAGAAACATACAATTTCACATGCACATCACACCCAGACGTCAACGTGTACCGTGCAATGTAGGTATATCTTATATCACATCACAAATAAAGATTTCATTTCATTTAATCCATATCGATTCCTTAGTTGTATTTTTTTTTATTTAATAGGTCGGCAAACGAGCAGACAGATTACCTGATGGTAAGCAATCAGCGCCGTCCATGGACACTCGCAACGGAGGAGTTACGAGTGCGTTGCCGACCTTTTAGGGATTAGGGATTTGGAGATTTAGGGATTTAGGAGGCATTGGGGGAGGGGAAGGATTGGGCCTCCGGTAACCTCACTCACACGGCGAAACACAACGCTGTGGTTATTTCACGCCGGTTTTCTGTGAGGCCGTGGTATCACTCCGGTCGAGCCGACCCATTCGTGCCGAAGCATGGCTCTCCCACACTTAAACGTATTTCACGTCATTTTATGTCGCACAGAATTGTGAATGTCAGGACATTAAAAAAATTAAAATGACATTCCCGTAACACATTTTCTGATAAGTTATACAAACTCTTACATAATATATGCATTAAACTTCACACAAACATTCTGGACTATTACGACTATCGTGCTTTCTAATAAAATATTCTTCCAAATTCGTTGCGTCACGCCGAGACTGTGTGAACGCACCTTAATCCTTTGTTTTGAATGGAACGGGGGTTGTTTAATCTTGGGTGATTAAACGCCTAAATGTGGTCTTTGCTTTGGTATTATTTTAGAAACATTGTTACAAATAATGATGCGGCTTTTATTTGCGTACTTAGAATGGGTTAAGGAATTATTTTTTATGAGTTTTATTATATGAGTTTTAAGCACGTAAGATTAAAGTTCAAATTCGAACTCTTAATAAGTATTGTTTGTTTTGAAATCCGACATCACCAGCCTGTAAGTGTCCAGTGAGAGCAGTGGCCTATTTTAACACGGAGGAGGTTTGAACTTAATCGCCATGCGTGTTCATGGCGTATTGGCGATTTCAAACTTAGAATTCATTATAACTTTCCTTAAAAATGATAATGATAACATTAAGTATAGTGTCTTTGTCATTTTTGCCAGAATATAGTAGTAGGTATACTATCTATACTTATATTATAAAGAGGTAATATTTGTAAGTTTGTATGTAGGGGTAATATGTGGAATCGCTGTTCTGATTTCCAAAATTATTTCACTGATAGATAGCTACAATGTCCCTGAGTGCTATAGGCAATGAAACATCACGATATGACCAAATGGAGCCGAGCAGCGATTGTAACCGCGTGAGAGTAGCTAGTTACTTATAAATACATATACACCAACCATGTCATGCTTCGGCACGAATGGGCCGGCTCGACCGGAGTGATGCCACGGCCTCACAGAAACCCGGCGTAAAATAACACAGCGTTGTGTTTCGCCGTGTGAGTTAGGTTATCAGAGGCCCAAACCTTCCCCTCCCCAAATCCCTAATCCCCAAAAGGTCGGCAACGTACTCCTATCTCCTCTGTTGTTGCGGCTTTCTATAGGCGACGTTGATTGCTTACCATCAGGGTAATCCGTCTGGTCGTTTGGTGACCTATGACATAATAAACATGTTTTTTTCTTAAAAAGCAAATGCAAATAAAAGGATAGTAAGATACCTTTGGCTTTTTACCAGAATATAGTAGTACCGAAGCCTCATATACCTGCCTCTCTCCAACTATCTATCATCTCTTTCTATGACACCTACGTTACTTCCAACGACTTCTTAAAAAACTACAAACCGAAATCAGAAATCTTTATATCTGGGGTACTGATTCCTTTTTTAAAATTAATACTTTCCATTTAAAAGCCGATCGCAAATAATCTTAAAGCTTAAGTAGGTACTTTCTTAGTAACATCAACATATCAACAAAAGATATTTTCTTCCTTCAGCAATTTTGCTTTTAGCTACGAATTGAAAATAATAACTCTCTCCTTACAAAAGTCTTTATTGAAAACCTTTTTCGTGATCAAAAACTGTATTATTTGGATGAAAAGAAAATCAAAGTTTCCTTATAAAACAATGCATGGTAAATGTCGAAATTGTCCGAAAGCTGAAACAAAAGAAATCCTGTAAAACAAGTTTGCAAAGTGAGTTGTTTCATTTAATAGTGGGTTAATTAATCAGGCGGAGTTTTTCCTTTCAGGAACAATAATACCTACTCGAAATAAAATAGATATTTTTTATATTATTTTATACAACCTACACTACTATGCAGTGCGGAGTCTAATACACAACATCACATCAAGGGCAAAGAACAAATTTGTATAAAAAAACAATGCTCGTTATTCTTTAATATTCGTAATGTTTTTATTAATTCCAAAGTATGCCTTTGGAATTATCAGTTATCAATTATCAGTATGCTATTTAACGTTCAAATATTATGACGTCACAATGTGATATTTCATATAAGATTTGTAGAAAATCGTCTCTGGTTGTCAAAAGAGCCGACTAAAACACTATTCGTGGGCAGCAGAGTTCTCTGATAGATAGCAAGAAAACTATTTATTTCTGTGAATATTATATGTATTATAGGTTCTATTTTAACAAAAAATATTCCCGTCACGCAGCCTCTGCATACGCGGAACGCTACATGGGCTTTCCCAACGCAACGGGCAACTACCGAGGGTACGCTGACGCTGATGTCACCAAGCAGGCAGCAGCGCTCCATGATAAGATGCTGCTCCTGGTGCATGGGACAGCAGACAATAATGTACATGTGCAGCAGAGTATGGCGCTCGCAAGAGCTTTGGCTGACCAGGGCAGCATGTTTCGACAGCAGGTAAGTCGAAAATAAATACGCATAGAGTTTTAGAAATTCAAGTTGTTGTACTCAACAGCGTCTAAAACGCTCGTGGATGATGAGACTGAACAAGGAACCGTAAAGGCAAGAAACAAAAAAGTAGATTTATGTTTATAAGTACCCACAATGTACGAATTGATGATCTTAATAAATGTACCTAATACATCGCGAAGAAAACTATAAAAGACCCATATTAAAACGGCATGGTACAATAACAATAACATTGCCTGTCATATTAATTTGAATACATTGAAAACTAGAGAATCTCTATTGCACCTACAGATTTACCCTGATGAGGGCCACAGCTTGGAAGGAGTGAAGCGTCATCTGTACCGCACAATGTCCGCCTTCCTCGACGACTGCTTCAGGAAGCAGGTCCCTCCCGAGACCAAGGCGGGATTGAGAAACGGAGGGAATCTAGACTGAGATACGTGGAGGGACGAGGAGTTGTGCTCTTGGTGAGATGTGTGTAATTGTAATCTTATACACAGGCTTTTTGCGCTTCGAGCCAATATTTAAGCGTACCGGGACATGGTGATGCTTGTTGTCGCTTATCTATTAAGCTATTAAATAATATTAAACTAAAAGTCGTTTAAGACTTAACAGCCATTGTGATCAAATAGTAAGCTTCTACGCTAAGCACAAAGAGTGCTTATTAAATTATGCTTAATTATTTTGGTGGCCAAACGATTGCTTGCAACTTCCAAAATCAATTAATACTATTTTTTTGGCAATTAACTATTATTATGTGTGTTAACAAAATATAACCAGCTGAAAATATGTTTTTACAAACCGATATACATTACATAACCCTACAAAAATGTAACACTTAGAATCATTAAAAATTCCTTACTAAGACTTAACTGGACAATACAACGTGCAGCTAGTATTGTACCAGGAATACATAAGTTACTAGGTGGCCAGTAGACCCGCATCAATGCCTTGCGGTTGCGACACAATAGCAAGATATATGTACTGTTCTCATACATCTTGCAACTGCGGCTCGATGTAATCCGGTCGTCGCATACCTAATCCATGTTACGTGTAACCGTTTGTCAACTTATTCTTGTAAATGATGACAAACTTTATTTCTATAGACGTTGGCTCTATAATTAGATCTTGTTAATCTACAAAATAAAATTAATCACATTTAACTCTATTAGAACACGTTTGACTACATTTCGTTTATGCAGTAACTATTGGTTCACTTTGTTCTCATTTGTTTTGTGTTGATCACGATTTTGATCATCACGACTACTGCTCTTGCAATGTTCGTAGATTTCACTTAAGCGTTTAACAAACTTTAATTATTTTTAATATTAATTATTACATGCCCAGCTCACCAATACGGGTTGAGGACAACTCCGAGCCAGAAGACTCCGACGAAAGGTACGTAAGATTATTTACATAAGAGTTTGATAGGTACATGATTTCAATTAAAGCTTTGATTACCCAAAGGAAGCATTTTGGGACCAATTTTATCAGCCAGACTAAGCAAAATTCCGTTCCTAATTTATGCTCAATTAACAATAAACTTTTAAAATATAATCTTATTTACTTTCATGTATATTTCGAAAAAAAGTTGTAAGTAAAATCAAATCCAAACAAGATCATTAACCATTTATGCATTTTTGCAGGTAATATATTACCACACGAGGATAACACACGAAGAGAGAGTGTAGTGATAAATCAAATAACCCGTAGTACAATTAATTCCATATCCAACGCATTGAACAACTGCCATCTTCATACATATATAGGATTTTAAAACAAGAACGAACAAGGATTCCTTTATCTGATACAGGAATAACAAAGGAACATCACTAAGCTAAAAAGGATTACGGAATTATTTCAAAGAACCATTGTAGACGGCTTAGCTCGTCTCATCTAATACACATCCGAAGAAAAGAACGTTGATACAAATCTAGGAATTTCAAAAGAAAAACTAGATTCATTGTTATACTGTTTTAAATCTTTTGAGCAACAAAATAAATTCATTTTATATGATAACGTAGCATTGAATCTTCATTACAATAATAAAATGATTTTATTAGTGGAAGTTTATATAATTACATTCTAAAGTATACGTTTTAAACACGGATATAAATATTTAAAAGATTTTTACAAACTACTTTAAACAGATTAACACCTTGAAATGGAATGAAAGCAAAATAGATTGAAAGAAATCACACATGAAAGAAAAGATCTTAAAGGAATCCTAGCTTCGTTCGTAATAATGTTAATGTATTGGAACATTCTTAAGATTCCGTCGTATTATTATAGTGGCGTATTATTATTCGTAAAGCAATGTTGGCATAAAGAAAGGTTACAGAGTTTTTGAGTACTGTATAGGTTTTGCTATAAAACAATAATGATTATTGATAATTAAATGAATTGGCAAGGTTTTGATTGAACGAAGGAAGTGTATTCATAGACACTTCGTATGATTATAATGAAGAATGTTTTTAATAATACACCACTGTAATAATCTAGGAACCATAGCAAATAGTTAGGAGAAGCAGAATATCTCAGTACCTATATTAAAAAATCATAATTACATAGTACTAATTTTTAACCTCAAATGAAAAGTAACGCCAACTATATTTAAGTAAAAGAAACGATATTTACAGCCGTAATTTTTACACAAACACATATCGGTAAAAGTCGAAGATTTCTTATTATTATTATTCCTATTCAAAATAAAAATAAAACACAAAATTGAAAAAGAAATACCTATTCGAAAATAATAATTAATTACTATACTATATTTAATTCACTGTTATTATTATTGCTGCCTTATTTCCCGCACAAACACGTGACTCTTCCATTACATCCTCTGTGCATGTATAATAATCGCGTCTTCTCAACATTTAGCTTAAAAACGCAATATTTCATCTAGTGAATAATAAAGGAATTGATAAATAGTTCTTTAGTCAATCAGTTTGTGATCTAGTAGTTAAATTGTTATAACTAGTGGTACCTTTTCATGGACTCATCGTCATGTACGCTCGACGACAAACTGACTCCTAGTAAAATTTTGAATTTTTGTATATCAAAAATGACTTTGATGATGGACTTGCTCGTCTTTTCATGGTCTGAATAATAGTAGGAACATAATAATATACACGCAAGAAAAAGAAACTGTTCTGTTGTTGTTATCAAATATTGGTCTCGCCGCTGTCGTATTATTATTTTAGCCAAATATATTCGATATTTCGTTCAAAAAAATAATTCGCCAACGCGGTGTCTAATTAGAGTTTTGGAATACACATAAGTATAATATCTCAGCTACGTAAATCTCAGTCTTATGTAAATGTAATATTATGTATATTCCAATCAAATGTCAAATATCGAGGAAACATCAGTCTATATATTCCTACTATTGCCAAGCCCTGAATTGAGACACTCGAGTCCGCACGAATCATACTTCAAGCCATCGCAATGTTTGGCGATGAGAATAATTTTAATTTATTAATTTGTATCGCATACGAAGATGGTAAAGTGTAATTTCTAAATGACAAATAATTGTACAGATATTATTATAATATTTCCCATTTAGATTATAATAATACGCTTCTCTGCGTATTTTATTAATTATAAGAAATACTTTTTCAAATCAAATAAAAAAGGATTAAAAAAATGATTTGTACTTTCTTATGATTATTAAAATATGTAGTACTATTTTTAAAAAATATCCAAACATTTGATCTTTAAGTATAAAATTGCTCACTCTCATCAAGTTTTGCATGTATGCATTCTAGTCACTTAATTTATAGTATTAACAGAATTTAATAATAAATTTTATTAAAGACCAATAGTACGTTAAAAATATTTTATTAATGAAAATTAAAAAGTTTTAAAAACTAATTAGTGAAGATTTTGATGAACTAGTAAGATTTAGCGCATTAGTTACTTAGTGAAGTTTGAAATTTAAAAAAGTTTTATTGAAATGTAACTAATATAGCAATAATTTAATAGGATTAAATACCTCCTTTTTAAGTAAGCACTCTTCCGATAAAAGCACTTGTAATAAAAGGATTTTTGAAGCGTTAAAATTATGAAATATTCTTCGAAAACGAATAGCTAGTGTGCTTGCAGACAGATTGGTTTTAGAATTTTGTCAAGTATTTTAGTGGACTTAAGTCTCTCTTTACTTTGGTATAAAATTATAATAAGAGCGACCCTTCGCGTTCGATTTCGATATTCAAATGAAACAAACGACGATAGATACTTTGCAAAATCTCATAAGAACCCGTCTGTGTGCAAGCTCTCTAAATACGCAACGCAGAAAACATTTCTCACGTGTCGTATTATTAGAGAAATAATGCGAAATAAACTACGACACTAGAAAAATGTTGTCTAATGTAGGTTGAAATGTTCCAAATAAAAGAGTGAAGTAAACTCGAAAAAAGATTGTTCAAAAGGATAAAAGGAAAAGACCTAAGTGCCAAAAGCGTCGTTTTATCTCGTACGTTTTCTGTAAGTAATTATTGTAAGTACATAAGACTCATTTAGAAAATTCGATTACATTCACATGTTTTTTCGTCATTAGAAGTAATTTTACGGTCCACTACGCCGACTACGCGCGTCGAATAATACGAATAGCCAGATTATTTTTTTATAAAATAAATAATACGCCGAATGCGACTGTGAGTCTTCATCATAATGAGGTTGTATTTGTATTTTTTATTTATTTTAATTTCATTGGCATTTTTATAGACTTGATTGTTTTTAACTTCTTAAGATTATTATTTTAGGTTAAGTTGTAATGTGTAAATGTTGATTGTGTGTGAAATAAGTTTGTAACTGCAGTTTGTATCAATCTCGATGGATTATTTTAAAGCGGAGTAAAAACTGAATTGATGAACGATCTCCCAAATAACTGATAATGATTATAATAGTCGATTTATGGAATTTATAAAATCAGCGTCCAGTCCATAGACTGACTTTTCCGTTCACTTTTCGACTAGCGTCTTATCAGTTTTTCTCTAGAGCCTAGGGGGTGAATCATTTGGATTAAAATTCTTTTTTTAACAACAGTTGCAACTATGCCGTATCCTCAAATTGGAAGTAGGGTTTGAAGAGATTGATACGAACATTCAGCCTCAGCACGTTGACCTATACAATTTCTCTAATACATTTTCGATTTTATCACAAAAGTATAAGATTCAAAATGTATGAAAGTAATGGTGTAGGTTGACCTGCTGTCGCCTGCACTTATAAGGATCTTTTTGAGTATAGGTACATATAAGTTGTGTGTAAAAATGTAAAAGGTTGGTACAAGCACGTTCGAGTTAACACAAAAAATAAAAACGCACAGATTGTGATTTTTGCCTTATCGATGTTCTCGCTGTTAAAATATTTCTTTTGATTTTTGTAAGCAACCAGTTTGCCTGTATTGCTAAATGTTATTTAATAAAAAGTATAGAACGTACGTCGGACCTTTATAATATCATAAGTCTCTAGTTCAAATTTTGAAGACATAGGTTAGGCCAAAACATGGAGTAGGTATTCATTAATTAAATACTTCATGATTTAAGAGGCGTTCTCTTCTCCTTTTTTAAATATCCAAGACTTAACACGGCTGATAATGTTAAAAGGAACACGAGGAAGAAGTATCTTTATAAGGAGTTCGTATTCTGTCAATGCTGTTTTTTTTTCTATAGTTGTAATTTTGCGCATTAACTTCAAACGAACATAAATTCAAAATAAACTGTCAACACAATTCAAACTTGGAACGTTAAACAAACCACAGATAACATTTAGCGATACAGATAAATAAAAGGCAATGGTGCAATCGCTTTGTGATTACAATATAATAACTTTAAAAATAGTTTTAAGCTGTTCTTAAGGCAGCAAGAGCGTTGGTTGTTAAATGTAGTTATTTTTCAAAGCATAATAGCGCACACACCAGCACATCAAGCTACCTCATTTCCACAATTTTAAACTCTACTACAATAATAATAAAGCAGCAAATCTATAGTATTGGGGTACTTTAATGTGCAGGCGTGTGTTTTAATTAGAAAATAATCGAATATAAACGCTATATTTTTATTGAAGTAAGTTCTACGTACATCTGATTCTAATTCTTAGCTCTGTAGTGGTAGCAAGCAATGTTAAAGAAAGTATTAAGAAGCAACGTACCATTAATTGAGGGCGAATAAAAAAACACTGTATTTAAAAAAAATCCTCTATAAAGATGGGGCCAGCATAGTAAAAAGGTATTAGGTAGTATTTATAAAATAAATTAAAAATCAAAGTACTAATATTGACATCCACAGTCTTTGACAGTTCAATGGTGCCCATAGACAAACAGGGGAGCCTTCAGTAATTTTTTTTTTTATGTGACATTTCGTCAAATTTCAGACGAATTACCTGATGGTAAGCAATCATCGCCGCCCATGGACACCCGCAACAACAGAGGAGTTACGAGTGCGTTTCCGACCTTTTGGGGATTAGGCATTTGGAGATTTAGGGATTTAACCACACCCACACGAAACACAACGCCTTTGTTGTTTCGCGTCGGTTTTCTGTGAAAATTGTCAAATGAATCTCCGCACATGCTGACTAAAAAACATGTATTTTCCAAATTCAAATTTCTCCTTTCTTTAACATTCCACGCTACCACACCGTTCTTAATAAACAATGTCTACTCAAATAAATTCTTCACGTTTTTTTGCTTATAAACTGATAGAAAAATTGATGCCAAAATATGTTCTTAGTCATTACTAAATAGCAGTATTGAATTTATTTATATCTATTGTAGTTCTACAGCACTGTTACTTGATCAGATCAAAGTATTATTAGCTAATTAATATTACCTATTATTATATTGTATCGTTAATTATTGTGAAGTTTCAGTCAGTGAATGAAAAAATGCATGTATACAAAGGATTTTAGTAATTTTGTCAAAAAAAATTTTTTTATCTCTCTGCCCAACAGATTGTTTATGACTTCGACTGACTGACTGACTGACTTCGACCGCTACGCTCGCACTATATTTTGGATTATGAGTTTCAAATTTATAATTAGAAATTATAAGCCCAGCATTCCTCATG